ATGACAGTTTTGACATACATTTGACGCACGTCAAAGTTTGGATCAAAGCTATGATCATATTTGACCTCGAGTTTGATCAGGATCAAATTTAGAGTAAATCCAATTTTTCGTGCCGTGAGAGAGTTTCTGGCGAGGAACTATCGGCTGATAGTTGCCCCGCGGAAATTTGATGTTCTTGAAACAAATATTTCGCTTCGAGGGCAAATATGCTAGTTTTAAGAACATCAAATTTCTAAGGGGTAACTATCAGAACGATAGTTCCGAGACATAAAACTCTATCGTCTTTGTTGTTCACCACTAAATTTTTCTCCGCGCGCCGGTTCAAAAATCATATTGAATTATTTTCAACTTTTTTAGATGAAAGCCGTGAAAGCCAAATGTAAAATTAAATATATAGATTTAGGCAAGCCTAAAAGCGGAGCTCCTGAATTCTCGGGATCAGAAACTCAAAAAATGATCAAAATGATTATTTATATTCTAGTTACATTTTAACAAACCATACCTAATGAGTGTACCCAAGATTGAAAAACTTACGCACGCAATATATTAGGAACTTTCAGCGGTTATATTAGGGACGTGGTCAGCGGATACCTTGTTTTGACAGCTGTCAATTAATTATAACATGGATGTCTAATATCAAAGATGTACCTATGGTAATGGTGCTACTCTCTTATTTTTCAAGGCGGGACGCACGGACGTAGGATAGTCATGTGACGACCAAAATTTCTTAGATCGATGGGTTACCAAATTTTCTAAGGTATGGGGCTCCGCTCGCGCGCCTTCGGCGCGCAGGAGTTCAGCTAAAAAGAAAAACAGACAAAAACCCACTTAATACAATTTCAATTGTTTATTTTCTACAAGCACGCTTGTTTACAGAAAAAATTCACGGACGAGTACTATCCATCCGGGTATTTTCCTCGGACGGGCACCATGGGCTGATAGTGTCTCTCTGCGGATGAACACTACCGCGTCACGTGATCAATTCCAACCAATGAGAATCGGAGAAAATTTAGTGGTGAACTATAACACCTCAATTGTTTTAGTAGAATTCTAACCGAAATTGACGCAAATAACGGTTTCCAATTATTTTTGTACTTATTATTAAACTCACGCCACAACAATATCGCCTGCACTAAATTTTCATTGGAAATTTGCAGTTGTTTACGCGTGAGCACTTGTTTTTTTTTTTTCAATAATTTCAAGTTTTTTAAGTCACAATATCGTTAATTAACTTATTTTAGTCTTCTCGGGAATTTAACTGTCCATGTGCATCTAAACGTTCCTCCAAAATATCGAGAAAACGAGGAAGCGTCGCCATTTCGTAGAGGACAGACAGCCACTGCACTCTATGGCTGATAGTGTACGAGTAGCTCAGCCAATCAGACTGCAGCATTTGCATTAGTATACTAGTAGAATTCTACTAATAGTATTTAAAGCGTCGTATTACCAAAACCATTAATCACTCTAGCCAATCACAAATTACACAATACAGTGAACCAATCAAAACTCAAAGCAATGACATGAAGCTCACGCTAAGCGCGAAAAAACGCATGCGAGTGAGACATGAATCAAGATTGATTCTGGTTTTACTTCTGATTGGATGAAAAAGTGGCCCGACTTTCTTTAAGCCAATTGTTTGAAAACCAAACCAAAGCAAATACAATTTACCTTCGACACTCAAGTGAAACCGTTCAAAGAGGCGGTTATTTAAAAACGTTCCTTTTGAAAAAAAAGGCAAAATAACCAGTTCTGTTACATCCACTCATAAATAATGTTTGCAACCTCTGTTGGAAGATTTTGTTTGATGTTAATTACTTCCTCCGGAATTTGTCCATTCCTGATCATTCTCGCCACAGCATTGGCAGTGATGTCAACGAGTGTAGATGGAACAGTATAAGTCACTTCTATGATAGCGTCTGCCAACCAGTAGACGTTTACAGCATCTTCACGTAGCTTCATGGTGATAGAATTGTTCTGGGCGCGTAACCGTTCCCTATCCACCTCCAAAGTTATTTCACGGGTTTGCCAGTTGGACCCAGCACTCTTATGTCTCTCAATCCAAAGGGTGTCATTCAAGAAAATATCCATCATTCCACTCCAGCAACCTTCCGTGACGGTCAGATGGAGACGAGTTGGTTTCTTAACATTCTCTGGCAGATCAAAAGTAATCTGCACCTGACTTCCCCCATTAAACCTGAACAGTTTGTAAGGTCTCCCTCGGCGGTAGCAGTCAGTCGTCATGACATGAGTGAATTCCACATTCTGATAATCATTATTGAAGTCAAAAGTGTGGATGATTTGTTTCCTACTAATTTTAAAATCTCCGACTTGGTTTTCCATTTTCTCCTTCAGCAAAGCACATTCAAAACCAATCTAAAGAAATAAATAAAGGACCTTATTGTGGCAGGCGCGGTGGCCCCATGGTTAGTGCGCTCGTCTCCGGATCGAGCGGTCCGGGTTCGAGCCCCGGCCGGGGACCTTGCATTGTGTCCTTGGGCAAGACACTTTTTTCAAGTCACGTGAAACGGCTTCAAATGACTGACCTACGTCAGTTCGAAATAGTATGAAGTCGTTAGCACGTCTTAATACATGTCGTCAAAATTTTAACAAACAAAAACCGTTTTACCCGTTTAGTTGTCATGAACGTTTACACCCGCTTTCAGTGTTACCTGAATAGGCGACATCTTTCGACTATCTTTCGACGATCTTTCATCATGCCATCTTTCGACATGCTATGTAATTATAGCGGCTTAGAGACCGTTTAATTGTGAAACTAGCAATTTTTCCGGTTATTAGCGGAACAAATGGCAAATAAATGATAATTACTGACCTCAGTTGAATGTAGAAGATTGTGGACTTTGCATGTTTCCCGATTTCAGTACAGGATAATATTCAAACGGTGTTAGTGTAGTCGATCGGCTCTGAGTCTCAATGGTGACTTCCGGTAGAAATTGGGCCGTTACCGCTCAGTTAATATTCGGGAGATGTAAACATTCAAAACAGTCTATTTATCTCTCACAGAATGACTTCTTGATACTCCTAGCCTTAGTTTGATGTCAAACAAATCCATCTTTCGTGACTAAAAGTCAAGTTCGACCATAAAGAATTCAGTTGTGCTTACATTTTTGACGTAAACCAGGTTACATGGCATGTCGAGAGATGGAATGTGGAAAGATAGTCACTATGCACTTAAGGTGGCTCCATAGGGTAGTCATTTATCACGTTGCGCGCGCTAGTGTTGTGTTGTTGTGTCGCTAGCGTTGCGCTAGTGGTATTTCTGCATTCGTTTTTACACCCAGTCCTTTCAAACTTATTAAATGTAATAAGCAATGATGATATGTTGATTTACTACCATCTCTGTAAAATCTTGGCTTTTAATGTTGAATTATAAATGCCCAAACAAATGCGTTGCTTACAGTTTTTAGGGCTTTATTTGTGATTTTCTTGAATTTCCTTCGGTGAAATTTTCCAAAATTTT